CACAATTTTAGGCTTGGAAATTTTCTCGCCATGACGCAACATATTGTAGTGTACAGCCCACATCCACGGTAAATTCTTTACAAATCCCACTTGCATTGAAGATTCTGTTTGGATGGTAACTGGCAAAGTACTGTTTGAATTCGACAGCAGCGCATACACAAAACCGATCACGAATAGGTTGTATCATACAGATCAACCATCGGGAAGTGAAACTCGTCCGGATATCTTCAAACAATGTAGCCATGCGTTCAAGGTTTGGTTCGTCTTATGTGGTTCGCCACTCCAAGTCCCGGGGCATAGGTTGACGGTTACCATCACTGAACAGTAGGTCTTCGTGATTACGGGGTGCGTCCCGTCTACTGTTCATCACACACGGGTGTGTAATCAATAAAACGCATTGCTGGCGGATCTCGTCAGAACCGAAACAGTCGTTCTGTGTTCCTTTGCACTCAGTACAAAAAAGTAGACGCGGAATAGAGTACATCACATATTAGGAATAAACCAAATTCACAGAAGTGAAATGCACACAAGAAGAATAATCCACTGACTCTCGTACCAGTAACTTGGAATTAACTGGTCTCGTAGTTGTTCTGTTTAGTACCCTTCCTTGTCTACTCCTTGTGTACGAATTCGGATTCGTGTGTGACCAGATTGGATGTAATGATGATAGTATCGTTTATTGTTCATCTGTTTTATTTTTTTATTTGTGTATGAAATTTCTTTTGAAATATTTGCTGCTACAAGGATGCACCTCATGGATTTGATGTTTACGTCAATCGAGTATCGGTTTTGCACTGTCTAACTTCCCAACATCCTTATTGTTACGTAATGGACCCTTGGAACCTTGAACCAGTAGTTATTGTGAGCTGATTATTTATACAGCAGTCTACGGTTTGGGTCAATGGAATTATGTTTTATTCTTATGATTATGTATAGTTATCCTCCACCTTACGAGTCCTCGTTTGACCATTTTGAACACCCGTAAAGATGCAATTTACTACATTCACTAGGAGCTGGTTATGAAATGCTTACTTTTGCTAATAGTTATAGAGCTCTATGCCTCAACCCTCGTTTCGTTGCTGGGAACCTAGGAAACATGTGAATTCTGACGTAAAATACGTTAATCCACAGGAGACTTAAACTTGATCAACATAGATAGACAATGACGTCTATATGAACTTATTTGATGTCATCGTATTGTTTACCTGCTAAGAGTCACGTTTCGTGCAAAACCTTATCTTCTCAATCCTCAGTGCCTGTGGAGGAAGAAGTAATTGTCCCGGCGTCTTCACAGCGTGATGCACCTCGGTCGTTTGGTTCTTCCTACCAAGAACTTTCTCTGGAGGATGCTCTTCGGCCACAGGAGGGCGGCCAACAGGGGACTGTACATGGTTAGTTCTGTCACGTTACCTGTTACCGATTGATAACTATCACTTCCTCGGTTCATTGATTAACGTCCCCCCCCCTCCTTTGATCGCACTGACATATAAACGGCAATGGGCATCACGAGGTTCCGTGACTGAAAACCCATACCAAACCCTTTACTGTTTGGAATCCAATAAGTTTACTTTGCCTAACAACTCAGCAATCCAGTTTAAGTAACCTCTCATTTATGTTGATCGAGTATGTCCCGTGATCCATTCATCTTGCCGAAAAGAGAGATTGGTTGAATGCGTTCCATTCTGAATGCTTATTTACTACCACCATTGATTTGATCTCAGTGTACAGATGGAGAGTCATGAACGCTTCGTTCGTGGCGTGTTCGGAATGTGATCATTAAAAGAGGCTGGATATACTTTCAATGTTCTTTTACACCGGTGTTCTTCGTATAGCTGCTCCGTTCAGTTGAATTTTTGTCTTACCAATCTCTTTTCTACGTCCTATTCAGTTTGTTTGATCATGTTTTCCTGTCAATCTCGTGGTCGCATGATCTGAACCGAACTGTTTCTTCATATGTCAATGATGCAAAATTATCCGTACATGTTCGACTCACCTGTCCCGATTCGATTCGAGTCTCATTATGCGGTTCGATTTGTTCGCCCACGGGGAGTTGATACCACTATCACTTTCGACAACCTGAACAAGATGATGGAATGTTCCGGAAGCATTATGTGATGCCACTGTGTGTAAACCAAGCGATAGATTTGTACCACACAAACTTTACTCTCAGTCCCTACTGCTATTAGCTTCACACTTCTGTACTCCGGTTTCGGTTGCCCCATTTCGGCAATCCATTCGAATGTCAACGAATGAAAGTATTACAATGAAACAGAACAGTTGGGGTATGTGTGGATAAGTGCAACAGACTCCGACATATTATCTACGATGAGGCTAATTCCAAGGACTCGCTACGATTAAGATTATCGCAATCTACTTGGTCCTCGTTTGTTCACCGCATTACCCTTGTTAGGTTCTCACATTTCAATTTTAGGGAACATCTTTCGACCGGCAGATTGGCGTTATTTAATTCACTATCATGTCTAAGATATGTGGCGACCACTGTGCTATACCCTCTATCTACCACTCTCCTTACATCG